GTCATGGAAAGGTGAAGCTCACCTTTGAAAAAAACTGATTTGCCTCGCAAATCTCTACCGGAGGGCGTAGATTAACGGGGAAAAAACTTGTTGGAAAACCAACCACGCTACAAGATGGCGAACGCTCGCGTAGAATGACCAACCGTGCGCATGCGTAGTATCTCGTGGGATCTCTGTGGCAGATGACCGATAGAATTATAAATTGTGTCCTTAAATTATTATGGGGTTTTTCCCAACCTATACGGCTCCGACACATTAATATAGTTTTCTATTCTCAGATCAAGTCTGTTTGTCAATATGACATCCAATAAAGTTTCTGTTGCATCAGTAATTCTTGTTGGCTTAGTAACCAGGCATTCCAGGGCATGAACACCTTCTTAATCACGCATTATTTTCCCTCTCTTTGATCTGGTATGAGCCTATTTAGGTTCAGATCTCCAGTGATTACTATGAATTGCTTTTGCAGTGAAAGCCAAGAGACAATTTCATTCAGTTGATCCTCCAGTCTAGTATAGTAGTTAGACCCCGAAGCTTTGGGCGGCCTAAAGGCCAAGTACTGGCTACTTCATGTTTTCCAAACGTTGATTCAATGGCTATGGCCTCAATTGTACCATACGAGCAAGGTAACTTGAGCTGCTTAGAAGGTAACGATGAGGCGGTCTTTTCTATACATATTGTAACCTTACACTGAGAATTGGCTGTTTGGGTAAGAATTATCATTCTTTGTTTCCGTTAAGAAAACCAGTTGAGCTTTTAAGCACCTCATTACCATCGCTTTTTCAAGGTCATAAAAATTATATGCCCCTGACCCAGCGAGGAGCTTCACTAAAGCAAAGTTAGATGCCGAGTTTTCAAGCTCTAAATTTCACGACCTCCAAGTGTGTGCGAGTCTAAATTCCGAGGATGATGTTATCTACCTTAGAGCGCTTTGCTGGGCCTCCCATATCATGTATGAGTTAGCTTTTATCCCAGGCTCAGAGATGGCCTACGTAGATTTAGTTTTAACTCACACAAACAAAAATCAGATTTGTGACAGGACCATACGCAACGTCTCCAATTAATGTGTTAAGTAACTTGATACTATCCGCATCAGTGATCGTTTTTGGAAAGAGAACAGCGGGATTTACCTTTATTTACCGAGTTTTATTTCAATCTTTCAACTGATTCAAGGTCTAACTTACGCGATTTTGGTGGTCTTGGATCGAACAGCTTGGGATAGACACCTCGACGCTTTCTTCGATCCTGGATGTCTGAGGAATGGCATGGTTTAAAAAGTTTCTCTGTCATGATTAGCTTATGTTGTACAGTCCTCTTTCCTGGTGTTCCCCATTTTCTAGGCTTGAAGGTACAGCTACGGTTATGAGTAGGTTGAACTTTCTTGTTTCTGGATATTTTATCCAGTTTCCACGTTACCACCATCACTTGGCAGCAACTGAACCACTTTTTCCGGCTGTGCATATTTTTTCACACTCGGCAGCTGGAATTTTGGGTTTGCCTTTCTCTGAACTACCATTTCGATTCTGTATCTTACAAATTTCCTATAGGAGGCCCAGCAAAGCGCTCTAAGATAAATAACATCATGAACAAATGAAAGCATTCTGAGCCCCTTAGAACTTGCAAACTCGGCAACGGCATCAGCAGATGTCCTGGTTTTCTTTCCACAGTTCTTTAACTCTTCTACTGTATCAGTCGGAATGAACGTAGAAAGGACGGTAAAATCATCACCAAATGCCAAATCAACGGTGGAAAAGTTCTTGAAGTGGTTTGCTGCATCGCTTGCAGTTCTACCATTTTCCCTCACTTCTTTATCATCTCGCTAACTTTGCTTTTAAACAGATTTAAACACATAAAAGTGAAGATTCTCTCTGGGTCAGGGGGCATATTAGATTTTTCATTGCTAGCATATGTTCATGACTCTTAGAAAGCAAATTTTGTATGAAAACTGTGTCTAAACCGCTATGTAAATTTGTACTTGAAAATAAACAGCTGATCGATCGCGCGAAGCCAGATGATGTACACCTACCTTTCCAACAGTTTCTTCTTATTACCACTTTGACTATAAGGCGGCAGTTGAGCAACGCTCAATTTTTCATCTCTTCTTGATTAAAGCTACCTCTGGAGTGAGAAGGACTTGATCCGCCATTTGCCGTGAGGGTTTTAAGCCTCACTTCCATGCAACTTCCGGTTTTTTTCTGGAATCGGAGTATTACAGACCTCGTTTTCTTTTCCATCGATTTATGGCCCAAGCGATGCATTAAAATTCAAACTTGGCTGCGAGGCTTCGGAGATAAAACAAAAGAAATCATCTTGAGGTTGAGCAATGAATAATGCATTTCTTTTGTTTTATTCCCCCAAGCCTGGTCCATCAATACACAACAAAATGCAGTAGATAGTTGGTAATTTTAGTGTTGTCAGTAAGGTACAGTGTTCACGGGGAAAAAAAGGCCGGTGACGCCATCAGAATTATGGAATAATAAAAGGATAAAGGAAATACTAACAC